CACGCCTTGCTTGTGAAAACAAGAGGATTTGAAGCAGGGACTGGTTATGAGCAAAGAGCACAGTGTCCAGTTGTGATTGAACCTCAACAGAGAGAGAGAAAAATCCTCACAACTGGACCAATAACAATATAATGAAAAATAGAAAAAAGACTGAAGTGTAAAGGGTTTCTTTCAACTTGGATCCACAGTCAATGCTCATGGAAGCAGCAGTCAAGAAATCAAATAACACAGTGCATTAAGTAAACCTGCTTCAAAAGATCACGAACAAGATCTTTTTGCTACAGAACAAAGATGCCATTTTGAGGACTCCGGTGTGGCTGACCTAAACCATGGTCTTTTCAATTGCATCAGATGCCGTGAACACTGGACACTGAATATGGTAGACCGAAGAAGGATGGATGCTTTTGAATCAGGATGCTGGCAAAGAATATTGAATGTTCTGTGAACTGCCAGAAGACAAACAAATCTTCCTTGGAAGAAGTACAGCCAGAATACTCCTTACAAGGAAGGACTCTGAGACTTCCTCAGGAGGGATTGGTCCCTAGAGAAGGACGCCATACGTGTTACAGGAGAGGGTCCTTGGCCATGAGAAGAACCCCGAATGTGCCCGACACGCACAGAGGTTGTACCAGTGAGCTCGAGCATAGGCAGCCCTGTGAGGGCGTCGCAGAAGCAGGCAGTGCTTCTTTCTGTTGTACTCGGGGTCACTGTGAGTCAGAGCCTCCTTGAAAACACCTAACAACAACAAAACAATAGTACAAGCAGCGCTGCCAATAAAGCTGTGAAATGCGCTTGTTTTACTGCAATCTAGTAAAAGATTGCAAAACCTTTTTTTTTTTTTAAGTAAAAGAAGGTTCAGAAGTCCCCAGCCCTACCTTTGGTACATCCTTAATTCTTAGTGCTTCCACACCAAGGAGACTTTAACATGGTGTAACTTCTGCTTCTCCATACTTATCGTTTGGTGGTTTTCTGCTTGCTGAGCTCCTCCCCGTTAAGGTCTGTTTCTCAAATTTCACAATGTATCAGAACTGCTGGAGGCCTGGGCTTGAATTACCTAGAAAGGCTTGGGTCCCAGATGCTTGTCCATGGAACCCCTGACATTTTTGGTGACAGTGTCACAAGTCTACAAGAAATGACAAAATAACAAGAGAGTGAGATTCTCATAAAACTGAAGGAAAGTCCTCATCTCTATTTTGAGATTATGTCCTTCCACCTTCCCCCCCATCTACCTGTTTGATATTAAAATGTGTATTGTGTTTTATGAAATGATGCTGATAACAAGTGGCACAGACAAGAGAGCTCAGAAAAATTGTGGGAAAATTCTACGACCTTTCAATTCCATCTTTTCACGAACTTTTTGAAGCCCCCTCATATTTGCCTAACAACTTTATGTGACCCCAGATTTCCTAGTTGTGCTTTTCATTGTTCTGATCTGCCAAATATATATGCTTAAAAACTGTTTCAGGGAGTTTATATTCCTTGAGGAGCACTACTGGTGTAGTGGTTATGTGTTGGATTGCTCACTTCAAGGTCAGCAGCTCAAAACAGCTCTGTAGGAAAAAGACAGGCTGTCTACCCCCATAAAGAGTTAGTCTCAGAAACCCACAGAGGCAGTTCCACCCTGTCTTGCGTGGTCAGTATGATCTGATGGCAGTGAGTTGGTTTTTTAAAATTTTAATATACAGTGAACCCTCGTTTATCGCGGTTAATCGGTTCTAGACCCTACCGTGATAAATGAAATTCCGCGAAGTAGGATTCCTTATATCCAAAAGTTTTACTTTTTCCTGGATGGTGAGCATCTTCCTCTGGCACTTATTTTCATTGTTAGAAGGCTTAGAAGAAGCAGCTCATTTAGGAGCCATCATAGGGCTTAGATAAGATTTCTTAAAAATCACAAACAATTACAGTACACTGTACAAAAGCACAAATGCATCTGATACGTAGCTCCGATACGTAGCGATGCAGACAGAAGTGTGTACAGTATGAGCCAATCAGTGGCAGTAATGACAGAGCATGCGCTGTTATGCAAAAACCGCGAGAGAGTGAAGCCACGGAAGTCGAGGCGCGAAGTGGCGAGGGTTCACTGTATTATTTAATATATATTTTGTAGAAAACCGCATGGAGTTACTTTCAGGAGCACACAAGTCTAAAGAGGCAAGACATAGTCATCACCCTTCAACAATTGTTTATCTAGTTGTGATTGGATTTCAAGTAAGGCTTAGTACTCATGCTGCTGGAAGTAAGATGAGCCCCCACTGGTTTTGTTTAGCATGTGCATTACATTTTACATAGTTAAAAAACAATGTAAAATGTAAAAATGAGTGCCTACGTGAGGATAATTTCCTCTGGGCCACCTAACAGAAGCTTGAGTGGGTGAGTAGTTGCTAGAGTAAGGGAATGTTGACCTGGACCCATAAGGATGCTGGCGGGCCCATTCCCGCTGACTGGGAGTTGATTGCAACTCAGAGGACAGAGTTGAACTGTTCCTTAGGGCTTCTGAGACGAAATATTTTCTGCAAGAGACTGCCTCGGCTTTCTCCCATGGAGTGGCTGTCAGGGAGGAGGGAAACTTACACTAGTAAGGCTGACCGTCAGGAATTCATGAGAGTATGATTGAGGACTGTATGAGTCTGGGTACTTTAGAGAAACAAATCCACAGAAACTCATGTATAAGAGAGTTTTATATCCTAACCCGGTGCTGCCCAAGCCCACAAGTCCAACATTAACCCATTAACCCATATGGCCAACACCAATTCACAAAGTCCTCCTCCATCTCACAAAACACACGCATTGATGCTGACTGCAGGAGGAAAGCCGAGTCGGTGAATGTGTAAACACCTCGGCGCTGGCAGGGGTCTCCACACGGCTGCTCTCCAAGCAAGAGACCCGAGAACTCCAAAGGCGAGGTTCATGGAGCCATTTATCCCTCCGCCCTTCAATTAACCCCACATGTGTTTATCGGCCAGGTTGGCACAATAAACTATCTCAAGGACTGAAGGGGAGGAGAAGCGCATGCTAGAACATGATGAAAACTGACGAGATAGGTGCGGGTCGCCTGCGCAGGGCCATGGGCCCCACAAACATTCTGAGGAGACCCTCTCTTGGGGCAGCAATGGGTATGAGAAGGAAGGGCTGACTAAAGAGCCACGTGGAGACATTAACAATAACATTTTCACAATATTACATTTGTTTATGAACTCATTAGCTTGATTTTTTTTTTCAGTTCTAGAACTCAGGAACTTTGCTCCTGAAAAAGCCTCCCAGGACTCTATGCCTCACCCCATCAATACTGCCATGGAAACGGGGCCAGGACAGTGTTTTTGTTTTGTTTTAAATCATTTTATTGGGGGCTCATACAACTCTTATCACAATCCATCCATACATCCATTGTGTAAAGCACTTTTGTACATTCATTGCCCTCCTCATTCTCAAAACATTTGCTCTCCACTTAAGCCCCTGGCATCAGCTCCTTATTTTCCCCCCTCCCTCATCAACCCTTGATAATTTATAAACATTATTTTGTCATATCTTACACTGCAGGACAGTGTTTTCATAATAATTTACCCTAAGACACAGCTTCCACTCTGACCCAGGCATTCGTTTCCTGAAACTAACCGAATTCTTCAAAAGAGCACAATGTCTGAGGCAAAATGAATGTACAGCTGAGCACATGATGGCAGTGGTTCCTTGTGCTGTACACGGGTCACTATCCGGTAAGAACCCACTCGATGGCATGTAACGCTTGCTGAACTGAAAGGTGACTTTCAAGAGACTAGTTTCTTCAAGGCTCAAGAGGACATGTTCAAGGGTAAATGGGCTGGCTGGGTCACCCCAATCGCAAGGCCTGCAGTTCTGGATTCCAGGAGAATTAAACGTGTTTGTGGGTTGACTTTGAGAGTGACTGCATTCGAGAGGCGCACAAGCCTGGAGACGAAGGCATGCGTATGAGCTCTGAAGCTCACTGCCATTGAGCCCACTCCCATTGTGACCCTTTGGGACAGGGTAGCAGAACTGCCCCCAGGGGTTTCCAAGAGGGACTAGGTAGCCTCATCTTTCTCCCACTGAGTGAACTGCTGACCTTGTGTTTAGCACCCAACACGTGACCCATGACATCACCAGGCCTCTCTACCTGCTGAACAGACCTCTTTAAACTATTAAAAAGCAAAGATATTACTTTGAGCTCCAAGGTGCACCCGATTCAAACCAGGGCACTCCCCCAACCCTACATTTTAAAAAGGGAGGAATGGTTACATTTTGGGTCAGATTGTGGTCTTTTAAGCATTTCCTATGCGTGTGACAATGAATAGGAAGGACCAGAGAAGAATGGATGCATTCGAATTATGGTATTGGCAAAGAATATAGAACATACCACGGCCTGCCAGAGCAACGAACAAATTTGTCTGGGAAGAAGTACAGTCAGAATGCTCCTTAGAATGGAGGATGTCGCCTGTACTCCGGATTGGTTATCAGGAGGGACCAGTCTTTGGGGAAGGCCACTATGTTTGGTAAACTAGAGTGTCAGCGGAAAAAAGGCAGACCTTCAAGGAGATGGACTGACCCAGTGGCCGCAAAGTGGTGGGGATGGTTCGAAGGAGCAGGGCTGTGTAGCCTGGTTGTGCATTGAGTCCGAAGAGACATGACACTATCCAACAACTACAACCAAGGTAAATGACGTGGCTTCAAAGAGTTCGGGAGGGGGGGGGGGCGCGAGAAACTCTATTCTTTAATTCCATCGTTCCACAAACTCTTTTCAGTCGTTTTGCAAATCGCAGCCAGCAAGTCCTCCTGAACACGTACAGTGGGAGGGCGATGTCCTCAGTCCAAAGGGCTGACCCCCTACCAGCACCCAATCACCAACCGGCTACCTGGGACGTAGACACGCCCCTTTTGGAAATGTCCGGGAAGCGCGTCGGACAGCCTCGGGCCGGAGAGCATCTGCGCGTGCGCGGTGCTCAGGCTCCGCCCCTTGCCCCGCCCGGGCCGGGTCTGACTCAGCCAAGATGGCGGCTCCCTGCAAGGTGTGCTGCGCCGCGATTTCCCACCGGCTTTTCCCGGGAGGGCGAGTTCCCCTTACCCAGAGGCCAGGCTTCTGGAAGGCGGCGGCTGCTGAGTTGCAGACAGGGCCCAGGTTCCAGGTAAGGCCTCAGGGACCTGGGCGCCATCGCCCCGGTAGCGGGAGCTTTGCGTCATGGAGAGGACGGGGAGGGAAAAGGAGCCGTCCCGGAGGTCCGCAGCCTTCGCCGGGCGTCGCGCGGGCTCTGAGACGCGGGCTCTGTGGGGTCTTGGGTAGTTAGCAGACCTGAGGCTCTGAAGTGGAGCGTGGCGTGGGCATCGGCCTGCAGGGGACCCTCGGGAGGTTGTTCCTGGGTTTCGCGTGTTGTGAGGAGACACCTTCAGCAGGCGGTATTGGGGCGACCCCTTTCCGACTGGAGCGACGCGGAGTCCGCCCCGCGGGCCGGGGGGCGGAGCGGTGCTGCTGGCCGCCCGCGCCCCTGACTTTGAGCGAGGACCAGACTCTTGAGCTGAGAAAGCTAGTCAAACAGAGATGAGGAGCCCGACTTTTAAAGTGACTCCTGTCTATGCAGTTTTTGTTTACTTAAGTTTTCCCAAACTTTGTTTCTAGAGAGGAGGCGCCCAGAATTGGTACGCATCTCTATTTCACTCGATCCCGCCCGGGGGGTTTGGGAAGCCAGGTTCCTAGCTCCACAGCTGGGTGGATGATCATTGTCTGCTATGGGAAGTCCGTAGGAGGAACGAGATTTACGCGGGAGAAAAGCAGTTCTTTGGGGAAGTCGGTGGGATAGGCGCATTTCCAGTCTGCCAGTAGATAAGTACACCATAACTCAAAACCAAACTCACGGCCATCGAGTCAATGCCGAGACTCACAGCGACCCTATAGGACAGGGTAGAACTACCTCTGAGATCCTGAGACTGTAACTCTTTATGGGAATAGAAAATCCCTTTGTCTTTCTCTTGCAGCGGCTGGTGGTTTCGAACTGGCAACCAGCAGTTAGCAGCCTAACACATAAACCACTACGCCGCCCAGGCTCTTGTAGATATAATATAGTTCAGGAGGAAAACGGGAGATTTAAAACCCCTGCTTTACCCTGCATATAGTAATTGGGGCCTTGGAAATGCATTAGGTCACCTAGGCAGAAGGACAAGACACTGAAGGAGAAAAGAGCCCCTTAGAGAGCTAGGATGAGTTGGTAGAAATATATGGGTGAAACCAGATAGTCATAGAAAACAAGAGTGCTTCCAGGAAAGAGAACTTGCCAAATATTTCAGGAAAGTCAAGTAACTACTCTAAAAAAACCCAAACCACACTCCCATTGAGTCGATGCCTACTCACAGTGACCCTGTAAGAGGGTAGAACTACCCCTGTGAGTTTCTGAGACTTACGTTTTTATGGGAGTAGAAAGACTCGTGCCCAATGCATAATCACTAGGCCACCAAAACTCCTCAAGTAATCACTGTGCTCTGAAAATTACCATATGAAAAAATAATACTATCTTTCCTATATTCTTTAAAACAGACAAATTAGCCTAAATCTACCAGTCTGTCCATTCATTTATCTATCTTTGATGTGGTTTTTTTTTTTGCTCAATGCTTTTTTAGTTGTTAAAATAAAAAGTAAGTATCTTTTAAACTTCTCTAATCATATGTGTCTTGTAAAGGTATTGTATGTAGCATATGGAATGTGTTGTTGATGTGTAATGAGCATGTGAGGGAAGATATATATTATTTTTTTTGACTAACTGCCTCTTCCTTCTCCCTAGCCCCAACCTAAAACATATTCTTTGTCATTCTCTGTGTTCTTCCGATTCATTTTCAAGGGCTTCAAAAAGTTAGTACAAAAATTACAAGATAATGGAGGCCTTTTAGACCAGTGAAGAGCCCATTATACTTCTTTTACAAAATAACAAAGGAAAACGGAATCTTTCCATGAACTTTTTGAAGCCCCCATACAAATAGGCATACTTAAAAAAATTCAGCCATTTTAAGTCCCTTTCTACTTTCTATTTTTTTATTTACAGTATATATTAGAAACTCTAGGTTTGGCTTGACTCATAGTGACCCTAAAGGACAGGGTGGAGTATCGGATGGTTTCAAACTGCTGACCTGTGGTCAGCAGTTCAGTGTATAACCCACTACACCACCAGGCCACCTTCCAAAAACACTGCCATCAGATAATTTCAATTTATAGGCGGACAGAACTGTCCCTGCGGGTTTTGAGACTGTAACTTTTACAGGAGTGGAAAGCTTTGTCTTTCTCCCACAGAGTGGCTGGTGGTTTAGAACTGCTGACCTTGCTGTGAGCAGCCTTATGCAGAACCACTCTGCCACGAAGACTTCTCTCAGGGCCCCTTAGCAACCCTATATATAGGGTTTCCAAGACCATATAGCTATGGGAACAAATAGTCCCATCTTTCTCCCTGGTTGGTAGGTTTGGATTTTGGACTCTCCATTTAGCAGCCCTGCCCAAGACTTAGTGAGTAGTGCCCCCATAATCTTATAGCAAGAGTAAATGCAACCTACTGTTAATCACTGTGGAATCTGTTCCAACTCCTAAGTAAGTGCCTAAATCCCACCCACCACCTTTTTAAGCTTTTGTGTAATCTGCTATATGGATATATCAAAACTTAATGGACAATTAACAGTCAGTCCCTTTGTTTCTGCTATCCTACTGATAATAAAGTGTTGAAGTAAGCATCCTTTTACAGTTCTCAGTACTGATGCTTTTATTCCTGTCAGAGAGGAGTCCACTTGGGAGATAATTGCTGCACAGGATGTATATGCCTTAAATGATAGTAGGTATTGCCATAAAGCTTTCCAAAAAGTCGGTAGCGATTCACATTCCATCAGTGATAGATGAGAATGCCCTTTTTTCTACCAGCATTAGCTATCATCACATTTTGGTTTTTGGAGGTTTTTTGTCAATATGATGAATGAACAATTATTTTCATCTTTTGACTGCTCTTGAAATAAAGTGGGTTTTTTTTTAACCCTAATATGACAAACTTTTCCTGAGCATCAACTTTAGCCAATAAAGTAAATTAAATAAATAAATAAATAAATAAAGTAAATCAGTGAAGTAAATAACTCGTTATCCAGGGAATAACACTCTCACCCTTTGACATTACTATGGGATGGACCAGAAACAGCTGTATCTCCAAATTCATGAATTCCACCACAGTAGATTCTTGACCACAGGAGTATGGTTAAGATAGAACTGAAAGATGTAACTAACCCCTTCAGATCCCTAAAGGCCATATGGGTGGCTGTAGACATTCATAATGTGCCATACGCCCACCACCCACAGCAAGTCATTCTTAAATATGTATTAATATTGCCTCACTTCTCTCTGAAATATTAATATTTATAGTTCTCCTGGGGACCATGTGTCAGAAAACAATGGTATTCTAAACCACTTCATGGGGATAATCAAAATACTAGGTTTATTAGCATCTGGGTCATAACCCATTGTTATGAAATCCGTTTAGGGGTTACAGACAGTATTACAAAAGGGAAAGAAGAGAATAGAGGAAAAATGCATCTCACGCAGAATTACATATTGCTACGCACCATCATCAAAAAGTTTTGAAAATACTGATGCAACAATACATAAAGAAACAAGCTTGTCAGCTACGACTGCTGGGTGCTCAATTGGGCTTCCTCGCTGACCCTTTCTACATGCCAGTCTTACAGCATGCCTGTATATATGAATGAGCAATACTGTTGCACATATCTGTGTCCCAGTGCTAGGGCAGAAGAAGAAATCTTACTTGTGAATGGCTAAACTGTTCAGCATATTGAAAAACAAAATCAAAACTCGCTTCTATCCAGTTGATACCAACTCATAGTGACCCTACAGGACAGGGTAGATCTGCCCCTGTGAGTGTCTGAGACTGTCACGCTGCACAGGAGTAAAAACCCCTTGTCTCTCTTCTGAAGAGCAGCTGGTGGTTTTGAACTGCTGACGTTACAGTTAGCCCAATGCAGGCTCCTTTAAACCCGTCAGTATCACAGGTACACTCTTAGGGACTGAATTTTATTTCTCCAAACTTGTAAATCCTAACTTCGTTGCCTGTGGTTATAATCCCATTTGGGAATGGATTATCTTTGTTAATGAGAGAGGATTAATAGTATAGGGTGTCATTTGAGTCATTGTCTTCAGGTATAATAGAGATTAAACGAGGGAGAAGAAACATGGAGTAAGATAGACACCTAGACGCATGAAGATCTCCAAGGAACTAAGAAGCAGAAGCTGAAGAGACAAGAACCTTTTTTTTTTTTTGAGAGCTGTCAGTGAGCTTTCCCTTAGATCTAAAGCACTGAGTTCAGACTTCTAGCTTCCTAAGCTGTGAGAAAATTAAGTTTTTATTCGTTAAGACCATCCATTTGTGGTACATCTGCTGCAGCAGCACTAGATAACTAAGATAACTGTGTTAGTCCGGGTAGACTAGAAAAACAAATTCACGGACACTCATATGTATTTGAGAAAGAGGTTTATATACAAGAGCAATGGGATATTGAGAAAACATCCCAGCCCAGTCTGAAACACACGCAATAACGCCGAATGCAGGAAGATCACTGGCCAGTAGGTTGCAAGTCTTCTGGAGCCAGTGGCGTTGTAAGCATCTCAGTGCTGGCAGGGATGTCTACATAGTGTCTCCGGCTCCAGAGGTCTGGTTTTAGCAGCGTAGGTCTATGTGGTTTCTCTAGCTTCCAGGGCATAGCGCCATGTGTCTTGTCAGTAGCACAGTCTCTCAGGGAGTAAGGAGAGAGTGTCTCCCGCTTCCAAGGAGGAAAATACCAGGAGTTCCCAGAATTCTCAGGGGAAGGTCATGCCCACACAGAGGTCTCATTGACTATAACCCAAATGACAGACTAGACTCCACCCCTTCACTCTTAATCCTCTCAAGTCCCAAATTGATAACCAGATTATGCAACTAGCACAGTAACTGTATAGTAGAATTTTCTGAAAATCAGCCAGTGAAAATCCTATGATTCACGTGGGTCCAAAGGCAAATGACCATGTGGGTGGTACAGGACCAGGCAGCCTTTCCTTCCATTGTGTGAGGGCACCATGATTGGGGCCAACTCTGTGGCAGCTAATAACAGCAGTGGACAG